GGCCTCCCCCCCACTCGGCGGCTCCGTGGCTGTCTCTGCCTGCCGCAGGAGCCCTGGAGGCCCGGGGCCCACCGGGGCCAGCAGCCCGTCAGGCTGCTGAGGCAGAAGTGCTCCGCCAGGCTGCTGCAGCCCCTTCTCCCCTTTGGCCCCCTCTCACCCTGCTCCTTTTCAGGACTGAGGCTGGCAGAGCAGCTGGGACGCAGAGAAGATGAGGCCAAAATCCGCCACGGCCTTGGCCTCTCCCTCTGGGCGAGTGGAAACCTGGAGGAGTCTCAGCACCAGGTACACCATGATCTGCCCCATGCTGGCTTGTGTCCTTTGAGCCCTTTGGGTCATGCCTGTCCTCACAGGGGGAATGTCTGGTGTGTCCTGGGGAGGGTGGGTAATGCACTGAGCTGCCTCGGGCCCATGTGCCTTCCTGCTCCATCTGAAGTCACCTCCCCTCTGCCAGGCGTGCTACCACCCCGAGGGGCTGTCTGAGGCAGACCTGCCCTGCCCGAGGGTGTGTTGGCCCTGGATCCTCCTGCTGGATCCTCCCAGACAGTGCTTTGTGCTGTGTCTGTAAGGAAGTCACTGTGGCTGTTTTACCTCCCAGCTGTACCGCGCCTCGGCACTGTTTGAAACCATCCGACATGAGGTGCAGCTGAGCACAGATTACAAGCTGTCACTCTTTGACCTGCAGACATCCTCCTATCAGGCCCTGCAGCGAGTACTTGTCAGTCTTGGTAAGAGATGCCATCAGACGCTGAGTCTGAACTCCAAGCCTCTGCTCAGAGTTCAGCTGAAGTTGGGGGGGGGCAGTTCATGATGCAGTATTCACTCCTCATCTGTCCCACGCAGCACAACATTTCCTTGCCAGGACAGAAATACGGGTGTCCTGCTTTGGGTTTCAGGCACCTCTGGATCTTCTTTGGAACGAGATGATCCCAACCATTCCGTGATTCTTTCTTGCTTCCTCCATTCATGTACTTTTCTGTGGCTCATTTTCCCATACATTGTGTAATTGCCTGCAGCCAAGATGGTCTATGGGGCTGTATTCCAATGCAGAGACTGCTCTTTCCAGAAATAAATGCTGTGACCCTACTTCCCTAGGTCTTAGTTCGGGTTGGGATAGCAGCTGTCCCTGTTCTGCACATTGCACTGCGGACCATGCTGGTGTCAGGTCTGAGAGATGGCTTTGTCTTTTCAGGTCACCATGATGAAGCGTTGGCAGTAGCAGAGAGAGGACGAACGAGGGCATTTGCTGACCTCCTTGTGGAACGTCAGACTGGGCAGCAGGACTCTGATCCCTATTCTCCAGTGACCATTGACCAGGTCCTGGAGACAGTGAATGGCCAGAGGGGACTTGTTCTCTACTACTCGCTGGCTGCAGGTTATCTGTACAGCTGGCTGCTGGCTCCTGGAGCAGGTGAGGTCCTTGGTGATGAGAGCCTGTGAACAAGCCTTACCAAGGGAGAATTGTAGCATTTGTAGGTAGGAATGAATCTGGGATCAGAGGGAATGTACAAGGGAATCCTTTCCATCTAGTACCTTAAAGCTGAATAGACTGAAAGCTGTGGCATAGCCACAGCATAATGACATTGAAGTGCTTATTCAGGGCTTTGATGTTCACCTGGAGGTGGAAGTGTTTCACGTGTTTAATATGTCTACTTTTCAGCCTCTAATGTGTACGTATTTCCTACAGACCAGAGCAGAGCAGTAATGAGATTCCAAGTATGTCAGCTCTGTGAGAATCTTCTGTGCATAAAAATCCCTACTTTAATTAAATTTCTGTGCTTTATCCTTCCAAAAGCTTTTGACATTTATCCACTGAAGTGGATTGCGGAAAACAGAAGGGCGTCCCTGCTTCCTGATATGCCATTGAACTGCCTGATCCTCTGAATTCTCCTCATATGAATGTGGAAACACTTATCAGAGAGGAGCAAGGAGGATTAATGTGAAGAGGATTGCTTTTTGCAGACAGCTGTTGTTCATTATCTAATAAAGCGATGACTGTAAATTTTCATGAGTTCTTTCTGAATATAATTTAATAATTGCAGCCCTTCACCATGACAAAGCTAGGGAGATAAAAGCTCTGTTTAGATGGCACCAAAATGCTTCGGGAAGGGAAGCAAACATTCACACGTGCCCGACTTCAGCTGGGATGACAGCAATTGGAAAATATGCTTCTTGGGGACATTTTGCAATGTTGCATGTGTGCGTGTTGCAAGGTGGTGTTGTCCTGCTATGCATCCAGTCACTGACTGGCTCTTCAGGCCTGTAGTTTGCACAATAAAATGCCAGCAATTCTATAGTATTAATATCAAGCTGAGCTTACTAAAATTATGTGGATCAAAAGTGTAGGGTTTGCCACTAGGCTTCATGACCAGTCTCCTCCTTCCCCAAATTGCGTCTTGTAGAAAAGCAGTTGCACTCTTCAAGTACGTGGGTTTGAAGGCCCTGTCAGGTTTTGGGAAGGAGAGGGACTGCAGTGCTTCGGGGGTTCCACTTAAGCAGCTTTGCTGGGGAGCTTTTCAGTAGTGACTCCAGCCCAGCCACGGTGACTGACCTCTTGTTTCATTAGTGCTGACGGAGAGAGTAGCTTCAGTGGTAGCCCAGGATCCTCATTACCCACTGAGATGGTACCCTTAGAGCCTTTTCGCTGATTCTGTATTGGCTGCTGTTGCTGCAGAAGGAGTTGCTTTATTCTTTCTTCCTCCAGTCTTAACTGGTTTAACAATGTGTGCTGTCAAGGCAAACAGCATCCAGAGCAGCCTTTTACTGTTGATCACAGGCTGTAGAATTAATTATGTCAGGAAGGATATGCCAGTCTGAGTGGAGGAAGGTTTTATCTGCAGTAATAGTTGGGTTCTTAATGAAACAGTGAGTGCCCTTTATCTGGTTTACCCATTGTGAAATGCTATCTTTTAATATTTTACTATGCATTAATCTATCTTTTTCTTTCTTTGTATGTAATGTATTTTTATGCATATGAGTGAAATGGAAAATCTTTGTGTGATGTGAGGAGGTTCTGCTGTAGTAATAACACTCTTGTTCAGCATTTGAGCTTGTGTGTTCAATTTATGTGATCAGAGGCTATTAATAGGTATTTTTCATGTGCATCTATTGAAATGCGAATTACTCTGGTAGGTGCTTGCATGAAGGATCTCTTTTATAATTTATATGAGAGTGCTGCAATAGCAGATGTGTTGTGAGTGTCTTATAAAAGCACTGCTCTGCCTTTGTACCTTTGAGCCATCATCTACAAAGTACAAAACCAGATTTTAAAAGCCAGGCTGTGATACAGAACGCTGGAAGAGTCCTGGGGAGACATGGCGCAGAATGCTTTGCCCCAGTTGTACTGGAAATGCCAGATGCTAGGGGCTGTACCACCTTCCTAGACAGTTGCTGGCAGCACTATTCCTGCCTGCAGAAATAACCTCACTATTCTGATGCCTTGCAGGAATTCTGAAATTTCATGAGTATTATCTGAGTGACAGCCTGACGGAAAATGCCGGGGACTTCCATGAAGCCACCAGCGTAACCCTGCAAACGGTGACAAACTCCGCACTGGAACAGTACATCTCGAGTGTGCGGGAGGCTCTGGGTGTGGATTCCTACTATACCCGGTAAGTTGGGGAGTAGGGATCTTAACACCCTGGTTCCCGCTCACCCACCCGAAAGCAGCTTGTAACAGTCTGGGATGAGCTAATCGGCCGACAAGTCTGGGAACTGAGAGTCAGAGTAGGGGCAAATTCTCATTGCAGCAACAAAAAAAATGCTCTATTTTTCTATCCATGGCTATTTTTCCACCAAGTAACTGTATATAAACATGCAAATAAGATTTGGACTCATAGGTTGGGTAATGAATCTATGATTGGATGAGGAGGCAGGTGCTGTGTCTGACTGTATACGGGCAGATTCCATGCTACTTACAGTTTCCAGTGTAATTAATTCCTTTTCAAAAGTTTACTTATGAAAAACTGCAAATACCATGGGAGTTCCACAGCCCCTTCCAACTATGTTCCTTTGTGGCTATAGCTGAGTAAATAATTTACAGTGCATTAATCCATCTGATGAATTTCAGCAAGGAGGGAGGAACTGTACTCTAATCCATTGCTCAGACAGGTCCCACAACTATGTTTCCTCTTTTTTTTTTTTTTTTTTTTTTTTCCTATGGATTTGTCACAAGTCAGGTTTATTTATTTATTTATACTCAATCTCTTGATCTCTCATGGTGTTTGTTTTGGTCTGTTGGTTGGGCGAGTGCAAATATAGTTTCTATGCTGACATTGACAAGTAGTTTTTCTCTGAATGCTTCC